TGCAAATTATCATCACAATACAATTCTGATTAGTAATATTCATCCCAAGGGGTGAAAGTTCTTCAGAGTGAGTGAGTGAGTATGTTTTACGCCGCTTTTAGCAATATTCCAGCAATATCACGGCGGGGGGACACCAGAAATGGGCTTCACACATTGTACCCATGTCGGGAATCGAACCCGGGTCTTCGGCGTGATGAGCAAACGTTTTAACCACTAGGCTACCCGACCGCCTGAAAGCTCTTCAGAAAGATCCCCACATGAGTGCAAGCACATTACTTGTCTCGACATCTGGTCCGAACTCGTTTCAGTGTCAGAGATAATACAAGCTACTGGCTCCACCAATTTGTCAAGACAGAGGAGTCTGATTTAATGAGAAATTAATCCTGGTCGTTATTCTGATCTGGAGGTGATATACATCCGTACTGACTGCCCACCTGACCATTACGTTGACAGGGGGTGGCGGAACCCCAGAGGTGACCATCCGTTTGGAGTAATCTGAGGCAAGGTCACTGTACGCCAAGATGGTGGATGTCACCAATGATACCCTTCACAGAGATTTTGTTACTTCAAATATGTAAACTTTTTAAATATCAAAGGTTTGATGTATTTCATCCCATAATAATTAATGATTAATAGATGTGGGAAAAAAATTCAATCAATGCCTAAAATATATATCTTAATGGAGATAATTAAAAAACACATGAAATAAAATCTAATTAAACATACTGCTAGACGAAGGGACTGATAAATAATACCTTCGGAATGTAGAAAATGATACGTATCGTGATACAAATATTTACGTCAGATCGTAAGGAAATTTCTTGACAATAAACACTTCAAAGCAGGTTCAAAAAGAAAAGCTAGCTGTAGATACATGTTTGTAGCGGCTATTTTTAGTAGTGAAGTTGAAATGCTAATTACAACACATTTTGCGATATTTGACTAAAACACCAGGGTTCATAAATGAATAGCAAGTAATATGTTTCAGCAAGTAAATTGTCTTGTATTGATACAGTAAAAAATGTATCATATCGTCACATGAAAACTCATGATGCACTGGTGTATTGTTTCACCCTACAAATGTGCACAGAAAATTGTGATGCTATTGACTGGGCCACCCATGTCTATGACTGGTGTTGTATGTTAAGTTTACAACCCAACAACCCAAAGGCAAAAGGCCATACAAAACAGAAGGGATCACAAGAGAGTTAAAGAAAGACTATCTTCAAAGAAGAGATTACGTAACAGAAAGCAGGAGCTCTAACACAAGCAAGTGTACCGCAGAGGGTGAATGAATGGCCGAAGCTAAAGCAAATGTAAAGATACATCCACAAGGCAAAAGAATAGAACAGAGTTTCATTCACTCATCCATAACTGGCCAATTGTCTACAAACTCGGAGGACAGGGAGCTACCAAACTTCACAATAAGCACGTCTGCTCCAGTAAGCAAGCAGACGGCAATTAAAGAGTTTGCTGTCCAGCTTCCAAGCCATTGAGTCCATCTCCTGCACCAGTTGCCCACACCATGTGATTACTGCAAGGGTCGTCATTATCTATGTCCAGTCTGTGATTAAACTTGGCATGGCCTTCAATTGGTCAAGCCTGTTCCCACACTAAACGTGACCAACAGGCGACTCGGAACAGAGGGACATCAAACAAATCGCCAAGCTGTTAATGACGGTCTTGATAACAGAAGTAGCATAAAAAGTGGATCTGTTCTTGTTCATCTCTCAGAACCAGAAAAAGTAAATGAATGAATCAAAGACCTGTTTCAGAATGCTCCGACGCATCACACATGGTCAGGTGAATCAAAGATCTGTTTCGGTTTGCTCCGTTCGTCAGGACACGCACAGGTGAATAAAAGATTGGTTCCCACCATGCTAACTTCCTGTACGTCTGTACGACCTATCATGCAGTCCCTGGCTGGACATTTCACTAAGCCCCCTGCCTTTAGTCCTTTGTTGTGAACACTTGACTTACTCCTTTAAAAAAGGTTACAACACCTAAAGGGGCACTGTCATCAACTTAGTTTAGTCTCGTAAGTTGATACATTGTGCAACAGTTGGTATGAGTTATTGAATTTTCACCAGTTTACATTTGTAAAAAAACATTACATACGACTCAACATGAGTAAATGAAAGCGTCACAATCCTTTCCATAATCATAAGAAATCTCTTTGAAAGCAGAGTTCATTGTACGATTCTGACTATATCATAAGCATATGTTTATAAATCACTATCAAATGGTCAATATCAAAATGTTTCATTCATTTCATACATGTATTCCCCATGTAAATATTCTTTGAATGAAAATCTAACCAACAAATGAAAGGGGAATGTTTAAAGCTTAAACCAAAATGAACAAAACTTAATTTACATGATAAAAATAAAACAAATATTATTTTAATTTCAGAGACTAAATGTAAGTCTAGTGAACATTTATTTATTTTTAACTTTTGTTTGTTTTTGCAAGATTAATTATACATTATAAAAACGTGGATAAAGTTCAAATACACAATACAAAAAAAATATTTAAAAAATATATAAACTAAAGTGGATACAATTTCAAATAAATATAATGTTTAAAAAAATAAGTCAAAGTGAATAAAAGTTCATAATCCCTTGTTAAAAGACGCTTTTTCATATTATGTACAAATGGGTTTTAATGTTTTAAGCATGGAGTTGCTCGCCCAATAGCGTGCAACACCTGGAGTGATACCATCATCATATGTAGTTTTTATAGATCAGTTATCAGATTGATAGATTATCACTGTTTTTACTGTTTTTGGAAACATGTTTTCACACTACATGCAGTTAGTTAAAAAAATGCCAACATTATATTTGTTGCAAAAATATCCTTTGATAAATATCAACACCATCTTGAAGCTGTTGAATATCTTGGAATATAACACTCAACATCCCTTCCAAGAAAGGATATTCCAAATATCCAAATGTTAATTTTTTCTCCCTTTGTCAAAGGTTACAGACATACTGGCATGTTAATATCAACACACTCAGACATCAACAAAGTCACTGATACAGATCTAGTTCTATCACCGAAAACTCGAAAGGTTTAAAAAAATAAACTTCTAATCCCTAACGAGTCAAAATCGCAATGGAATCAGTGCTTTCACAACATGAGGTAGCCATGCTTGTTTCACAAAGTTGTAGAGCAACAAATGGGTGCTTTTTTTGTTTAATCAGGGATGCAGAAGACTGAGGTAGGTCTCAGTGTTAGAGCAACACGGTTGATGAAGGGAATACTATGTCCTGGCTCAGGGATGAGACAGACGGGCCATTGCTGTCCTATTGTGGCCATGTCCGTCTGAAGACACCTTTACGAACTTTTGTCACAGCTCTGTATATCTACACATTAATAAACTGACATGCACACATAATATTTCCTATGAACACACAATGCCATCAAGAAAGTGGTCAAATGTAACAAATGTTATATTTGGGATAACACTTTCTTAGTAACACTTCTTTACTAAGAAAGTGTTATCCAAAATATGGCTCTGTTACATTTGACCAATTTCTAAAAGGCATTGTGTGTTCATAGCTTTCGGCCATGGAAGCCATGCCAATTTACACTTGTCAGATGGGTACACAAAGTACACTTTCATTTTTGAGGAAGCCTCTGTGGCTGAGTGGGTTAGATTGCTGACTTTTTGCGCTGGCGATTAGGTGCTTCACTCTGGCAGTGTGGGTTCGAATCCTGGACAGGACTCAACCCAAAAAAGTATGAGAACCTGTACTTTACTAAGAAAGTGTTATCCAAAAAATAACATTTTTTACATAATATATATATATTTCCTGTTTATAATTGTTTAAAAAAATATTAAGGCTCATTTTATATGTGGTTGACGCTGCCAGTGAACAGTATTTCAGTCAAATCAAGGCAAAGTCCAAAGTGATGCTGGACTTAGATGTTTACGACTTTTGTGAAACCTACGAGTAGGGTATGGTGCTGACAAACCTAGAAACATAAAAAAGGTGAATCTAGGATTCAAACCCACAACCATAAGTTTCTGATGCACCTAAGGGATGTAACTCTGCACAGCAAAGGCAGAAATACAGGTTCAGAATCAGTCGTACAACAACCAGTTTTCGTAGAGATCAGAATCAGTCGTTCAACAACCAGTTGTCGTAGATAGCCTTCAGTGCAGATTGAATCTTCTGGCAGCTGTGATTGGATGATTTTGTGTAAGATGTTTATGTTTTTGAAATGTACATCCATCCAGTAATTAAAATGGACCATGTTTTTCTATATTTTGTGCTGATGACATGATGACTTATGCTGAATGTGACCACACATATTTTCAAGCAAGTGAAATTTAGTGTGGAACTGGTGGTGTGTTTAGCTTCCTGTACTCAGAAAAGGGGCTGGCTAAGCTAGTCATTTTTTTTGTTTCTATTGCTGCTCTAAGACCAAACTGTGCACACCGTTTTTATGGTCAGAAGACCATGTTGTAGGGTTCAATTGTGATCACGTTCCTAAATAATTCTTGAAAAGAGAGAAAAATATTTTATTTTTTAATTTAGTCAAAAAACATTTTTCTATTTATTTTTTTTAACTATTGAAATGTTCAGGTTAGCTCATCTGTAATATAAATTAGTGTACCCTCAACACCGAGGGTAGTTAGCACTGTGTAAACATACAGTGGAGGTGAGAAGAGATGGGGGGCAAATCTATCAACAATGGAATGTTTAGTAATAAATAGTTGTGAGGAATATGCTTTAAGGACACTGACGGAAGAGCTGCTGGGGAACTGATGCTCTCTTTCTACCAGACTAACATTTAGTCCCTGTAAAAAAGGAGTCTTATAAATAAATATACATCTACAAAACCAAATCATCAATGAAATTCCTGACAGAAGAGGGGCACATCTCTGTCTGTGATCTGTAAGTGCCAGAGTTGGCCATTCCTGAGATGGACCATTATGCTTCTCGATGGGTGACTAAGAAACAAGCTTTTGAGTCTGGGCATTATGCTGCTAGATGGGTGAGAGACAAAAAGCTTCTGAGATGGACCTTTATGCTTCTCGATGGGTGATGAAGGAACAAGCTTCTGGGTACAGCCATTACCCTGGGAGACAGGTGACCTAGGAAAATGCTTCTGACGGTTTGGACATCCACTGAAGGAGGAGGGGAATGAGTGTAGTGTAAATGAAAGAAGAAATAACAGCCACTGTTTCCAATAAAAACCTATCACCTGGTCAGACAGAACTTACTGCCCAAACATTCCCCAGTCAATGGATCCCATTCTCCAAATTCATGAAATATGTCCGCCATCAACGTGTCTGTCAGGTATTGAGGTGAGACGGACAGTCTTGGCAGCCGGTATAGACAACATGTACATAGTTTGCTTGCAGCATTGTGTCAGCACTTCAATGGCCGTAGTACCCAAGGCATTTAGAAGAATGAACGGTAGGAGGCACTTATCAATATCTTACAGAAGAAAGAAACAGAAACAAGTCACAGAAAATGGTCTCAAAATATATGTAGCATCTATGTTTATATACTCACTGACAAAAGAAATGCAAATACCTTACATGTTTGTTATTATACGGAGATCATGTGAAAATCATGTGCAGCATATCGTGATAAGAATGAAGTCACACTGTGGTAACACTTGGCCCATTGTTAGTTTTGTCATTAAGTGGTATGCATTACGTGGACTTTTTTTTTATCTGTTTGATGTTAGAAAAACATAACATAATTGTTGATAATAGGGTCATACTTTGGTCACTTAAGTGAGTTGATCAGATGTTTTCTCATAATTGCTCCTTTTGAAACTGGCTGCTTAATGAATTGGTATGGAGCTTTAACTTTTTTTTAAAAGCACACTGCCAGCATGGAACTCTAAAACATAAAGCCTCAATGTGTGAGACATACAGTCATGGTTATCCACCGAAACAGATACTATGTGGCGTAAAGGGCAAGTTCACACGGAAATGAACCATTTTTTCTTGTACTTTTTCCACATTAAAAGTGTTAACCTAGAAGTGTCATAGACAAAAATATAAAAATATCACAATAAATGAACATATTTTTTGCATTAAAACGATTTATATTTTTCACATTTACCAAGTCTTCTATTTTCATAACAAGAACACCATGGCTTATGCCCCTTGCAATATAACGTCATTGGTGCCAATTGATAAACATTATGACGTCATCATGTTTTGTTAGAGTCGCTTCACATGGTGTAGGTACAGGTGTGTGATTCTAGTGTCTCAGATGCCAGCCAGCATAGTGTTATGCTGAGTCACCACTGCGCCGGAGTGTGTCGTAGGCCATGTTGTTTTACCGCAAACTGGTACTTGATATCTTTTGTGTTGAGAATAGACAGGGACCAAGTTGAATTGGCACAAATTACGTCATAATCTAAGGGGGATTACTCAGGCCTGTTTAGCCCGAAAAACAAAGGCCTCATAACGGCATATTATTTCACACTATTGTGAGCTTCCTACTTTCACTGTGAAAAAAATGAGTGTATATTTTCAAACACAGATACTAAATAATTCTAAAATTGCGTTTGTTTAGAAAAAGAAAGTAAGTGATTTTTGCATGAACACTTTCCCTTTACAGGGCAAAATACCTGTGAAAACTTTATGAATGGAGCACAGTGATGACACCAGGTGTTCGCAAAATGCATGACCTGCCCTACCTGTAGCACCTGCATTTCACACAATTTGCGTAAATAAGTATTGTTTGCTGCCTTACCACAGCGCAGTACTCCTGCCATGTGACGGCAGCATGTTAATAAACAGACAATCAAGTGATCAATGGACCAGAAAATCCAGTGACACAATAGTGCATTTACTTATTTTGTTGAAACTAATAAAACGATATGATAATTTGGAATTACGTCTGCTTTGTACAAGTGCATTAGGACGGACGAGGAAGGTTTGAAATTAGCATTTGAAGGGCACATGTATTTGCAACTGTGATGTTATTTTCGATACCTTACATCTCATATCTAATTTAGGATGTAACTGTTTCAAAGATTATATTCCATACAGAAAGTCACATTGCAAGATTTGTGATGCATCACAGTCAAAAGTACAGTAAACTATGGTTATAACGAACTCAAAGAGACCACTAAGTTTAGGTTGTTATATCCGTAGTTCGTTACATCTCAGATCAAGTCATGTGACCACATCATGTTACTATAAATAACAAAAGTGTGTGCTGTACATGTACTATGTTTATTTATCATACATAACACAATTCAAACACGTTTCAATGACATACAGACACACGAGTCACTTGCCTTCATTCAGGAAATCTGTGATTTTGCTTTGGATATTCGTTGAAAGACGGATTTGGTTGACCACACGGGACCACAAAGTGAGTTCGACGTATCAGCTATTTCGTTTAAAGCCTTTTTTCATATCTAGCAATTTTATATGATAAATGCTAGGGACCAAACACTTATTTAAACAGAATTTTAGTTATATCAGGGTATGTTGATTAGCTTCATTTCGGAAGCCCGAAGCGATGCAGGGTCAGACATGTACCACTTTTGTGAAACACATGCACTGGGGAATGGTGCTGACAAACCTAGAAACATAATCAGATCTAAACCCATGGTCATGAGCTCTGGCACCCCTGAGGGATGCAACCCTGCACAGTAAAAAATGCAGTTCATTTTATTTTTGAAAGTCTTCTCCACCACTACATTTGTCACCAATCGCCCCTTTCCGTAACCTGCAAGAAGACTCGTCCCCCTATCGATGAATGTTATGTGTGAAAATACGACAAACCAGTCAGAATGAGCGTATGATTTCAAGTTCTTCATCAAAGAATCCCTCAGAAATATTTTTTGATTTTACATATGTCTTGCATCTAAAAATATACCCAAGACACAGTTAAATGTGTTCAGTCATACTGTATAATTCCGCACGTCCCAATGTGCTTGAAATATATATAATATATGGGGAAATATATGTGAACCATTACACAACGAGTTGACAATTGTTTTAGGTATGCCTGTTTGCGCTAAGACGGAACCCGGTCACAAAAATGGCTCTGAGAGGGGCACGAGTCGCTATTCAGCTTGTCCAGGAATAACACGAGTTGGTCACGAATGCCACCACTAGGGGTCGGCTGGTATACAAAAATGAAAATTGGTTTAAAGTGGGAGAATCTGCAACACAGCTGTAAACCTGACAAATCAACTGGGAATACTGTTGTGCATCTATGCATCCTATTTATTTCAGAAACAACAAAAACCTTTATTTTGACTCCAATGTTTAATTTATGTCAACTTCAGTGGATCCTTCTTCAGAAAAAGTGTTTTGGTGCAACACGCTATCAGCTTATCGGATAAAAAAAGAGATGAAATTCAGAAGAAAAAAAATCTATTTCAACAATATTTACAGTCGGCAGATCCATAAAGCAAGTGAAAAAGCATGGCCTTTGCGTCAAAAGCCTTCTCATGATCCAAGGCACATTCTTCATAATTTTGTTCAGTGTAACGGTAATGATTTTCATGCTGGATTTTTTCATCCAATGTCAAATAAATATATTACCTCAATAAAGGTATGCCCTAATGATCTTTAGTTCACAAAACTTTATAGACAAGGAATACATAAAACTGTCAAATCTCTGGCAATAGTTCTTGTTTCTAGGATGAGGAATCATGGTATCAGTTCTAAAGTCGATACCATAAAATCTTCAAAGATGTTTGCTCAAAGTGTGTGACGCAATTTACTTGTTTTTCAAATGTAACCATGCTAATAAAATGAACGCATTCCTTGCCCTCGTGGATGTGTTTCTGTATTTCAAGGTTAACATTTAGTGGCAGTTTAGAGGAGATATTTAGACCAGAAATCCTGAACCCCCCAAAAAGAGAGTCCTGAACATAATACAAGGAAACATACTTTCAGGATATACCGTATTTTCTTGAGTATAGTGCGCACCCAAGTATATTGAATTTTTTTTATAAAAAAAATATTTTGAATATTCAACATGTTGATTTACCGTCTAAATTGTATTTATTGTTCTACTAGGTGTTGTTTTACATGCAGGGATTAAGATTACCTTGTGTATTTTCTTGTAAACTAAGCCGGAAACAGCATCAGCTGTACACACATTTTCTTGGAATCTACCGGTGATTCGGTTAAAACTTACCCAATGATATAACTTTAAAGGATTTTGATGCAAGGATCGTGAAAAATTGTATCTGAAACTATTTTTATATCAGGAATAATATATTCCAATATCATGTTATTTTAGTTGCAGCTTTTACACTAAATCATAACTGTAAGAGCACCGTGGAGACCCGAAGTTGGTCCCCAGCAACCTATGCTGGTTTTTAGAGGCGACTTAATGGAACTGGTGGTCAGACTTGGTGACTTGGATGATTGTATGTCAAGTATCCCAACGATGTGCATCACTGCTCACAATATCAATCACTGGATTGTCTGGTCCAGACTCAATTATTTACAGGCGGTCTTGATATAGCTGGAACTTGCTGAATGCTTCTATAAACAACACGCTCACACACTCACACACATATACAGTAAACCACGTTCATAACAAACGTGCTTATAATGAACTGACGGATATAATGAACCGTTTTTTTGGTCCCAGTCATTTGTTGTATAATTTATCCTATAAAATTGATGGATATCATGAACACGCTTATAACGAAATAACGGATATAGCAAACTCATTTTGTGGTCCCATGTGATCGACAATGTTTATAACGAGCTGTTAATCACCAAATGCGGCAGGTCAAAATGGCAAAAAACAAGTTATGGCTAGTAATTAACTGGATTAAGTGTCTGGATGAAATGCTTACAACGAACTACGGTTATAATGAACAAAAATTAGTGGTACCTTTGAGTTCGTTATAATCATACTTCACTGTATAAGTAAAAAGCAAGCATCTGTGTATATTTCTTTTGTGTTGGTTTCAAGGATCTAACAGATATCGAAGATTAGAATTTGTATCTACTATAACGCACACCCATTTTGATTTTCAGATGCTTAGCATATAGACATGCACAAGTGACCATATAATTCCCCAAATAATGTTCTATGTGAAAAAATATGTATCGATACGAGACAACCAGGATAGTGTACAA